CAAGAAGAACAAAGCTCACCAGGGCCAAACTTATCTGTGTATTTTTTTTTTTTTTTTGCTTTTGTGAAAACAATCCATCTAGGGAGACCCAGCTGGCATCTCCCAGCAACCCCTCTCCCACCACCTTGGGACCCTGCATCCCTGGCTCCAACACTCTCTTCATCCAGTATCCTCTGCCGGCGTCCAACTCTCCTGAGACTCCTGTATGTTATGCAACCCTTTAGCGGTTTGGTATAAAAATATCATCCCACAGGACTGACAGCAACTCCGGCGGTGAAACTTATTCCATCTCTACTGAGCCATTTTGTCCCGCTGTATCAGTTTAACCCACAGGGAGGGGCTGATCTCCTCCTCCCGCCGACCCGAGCCCCAGGCTCCGAGATGCCACTGCTTCCTCCGGCTTTACTTCCCATGTAGAAAACAACAGTAGCCATTCTTCCTCCCACAGCTCACGAAATCCATTTAAAACATATACAGACTCTTCCCTGGCTTAAAATATATATGTGCAGTCCATCTTCTGCATCCATGTGCTCCACGTGGGCAGGTTCAACCAACCAGGGGTATAAAACAGTCCACCGAAAAATATCGCTGCCAACCTGGTTACGTAGACTAGCTCTTTAGGATTTGTGTCTAAGTGACATTAACAAAACAACTCTTTACATAGTGACTCTATTGTATTGGACACAGAAATAAAGCATGCAGATGTGCTCAAGTTCTATTGAAAAGTCTTATCATTTTATGTACGTGACTTGAACATCTCTGGACTTCAGTATCGGTGCGGGTCCTGGTAATACTATATACATAATATATATGTATGTGTGTGTGTGTAGTTAATTTTAATACCAAAACACCTACCCAAATCAATCTTATAAAATACACTTCTCAATTATTTTCTATGCACACAGGTAGGGACTGACCTGTAAAACAGCAGTTTCAAAAAACCAAGACCAAAAGAAGAGCAGACGATAAAAGGTACCAGTGATGGTAAATGAGACAAAAAAAAAATTTTTGTGATTAGAGGGCAAACTCCTCCAGCCTGAGGACGAAGCAGGCAGCAATTAAGGGCTGCACTGTGCTCATGATGGAAGCAAGCCTTCAGAAGCGAGCCTCCTGGGCTGGGAAACCTTGCAGCCTCGCACCCGTCCCCCGCAAGCCGCGATGGTCATCTGTGCTCGCTCCCTCCATCCGGAATGTGTTCAGGCCCACATTCAGGCTCGAGGATCCCACGGTGAACCAGACAGACAAGCCCCTGCCCCTTCCAGTGGAGCTCACGTTATACAGAGCACCGTTGCTTTGCTGTGGTTTGTGCTTTGCAAAAGAACCTTGGGGTACCCTGAAGGACTACAGTGTACTTCCACGTCTTCAGCCCCAGAACTTGGGACCCCCGCCTGAACAAAGTGGGGTGCTGAACATTTGGGTGGGAACGCCTAAACGAAACAAATGGACCCAGAAGACGTGAACTGCTAACTTGAGGCTATCAGTAGGTCACGTGCCAGCGTGAACCAGCCTCCCCCGGCGCTGCAGACTTCATCAGCATGCAGGGTGTTTTCCAAGAAATCACGCAGCTACAGTCTCGTAACAAAGTCAAAAAGAATGCCGTCGGGATTTACATTGCCATACGCAAATGGAGTATTTTTCTAGACTACTTTGCTAGAATAATCACTCTGTAACAGTCGAAAATATCTCTACCTATATATAGGTATCTATGTCGGATCCTATCGGCTGAATAATACATAGACATGTGCATGCAAAGGAACATGTCTGAAGCACAAATCTATTTACAGAGAGCTTTATCGTTGCCATTTTGAGACAGGGTCTTACTATGTAGCCTCGGGTGGCCCGGAGCTGGCTACGGAGATCAGGCTGGCCTTGAACTCATTGACTTCTGCCTGCCTCAGCCTCCCAACTGTGAGGCTTAAAAGGCGTAAACCTTTAAATGGAGCTCGCCTTTAATCCCAGCACTCGGGAGGCAGAGGCAGGGGGATCTCTATGAGTTCGAGACCAGCCTGGTCTACAAGAGCTAGTTCCAGGACAGGCTCCAAAGCCACAGAGAAACCCTGTCTCGAAAAAACAATAAATAAATAAATAAATAAATAAATAAATAAATAAATAAATAAATTGTCAAGATCAGAATAGTGTAGTCATTTTCTAAGTGCACAATCCTATCAATATTAGTGAAGCATAAATTTGAACTTGAAGACATTAACTCCTTTTCCAATAGAGTTAATGAATAAACTCTCAAACAGCATGTAAATGTTCACTTTCAGTGGGACATTTGTCACCTTCTTTATCAGATGAAATAGAATCAGTTAGCATAACTGAAGTAAGAACCCACTTTCCTAAATATTCTTTTTTTAAAATATTTATTTATTATGTATACAATATTCTGTCTGTGTGTATGCCTGCAGTCCAGA